TATATCATATAGCGACAGTCGACAAGAAGCGTTAAACTAAACTTAAAATTTTGAAAAAGAGCTTCACGTAAGCACATACATAAAAGTGTGTACTTTGTTTTGGCGTTATGTAGTTTTTTTTTATCAGCTTGTTTGAGCACTCCAGTTAATTACACAATTTTAATTTGTACATGATATTTTGATAACGTCTATTTTGCTCGCATTGAAGTTACACAATACAAAATTGAATCCGTATTGTAAAATTGTACACTAAAAATCATCACGTCCAATTACAAGATCAGTCATTTTCCAAAATGAAAATCTACCACCGAAAGTGTACGACGCATGAACGTTTCAGGTTCAGCGCGTTTATTGCCTTGAATTTTTAGTATCTATAACAAAAGCGTACTGGTACAAAATGTTATTATCGCATGATGAGCTTGTAAGTGTTTTTGAATGTGGAATCAATGTCTCGGTTATTGAGGTTTTTAAATACACCCGATTGAACGGTAACGCAGGTAACACAAACACTTGTTCTTTAAAAGGGAAAACATATTTACTTATAACGGATTCCCTTACTATTGATGCAAAGGTAGGAGCCGTTTGTTGATCGATCAATTTCGTTAATTTCATTCAGTAAAATTGTCCGTGTGAATGCATCTGTAGTGATTAATTTTAAATAGACGTTTCTAATAGTGAAGTTTAAGGGTAGCTTTTTCGATTATTAAACAAATCTTGGAGCAAATCGGAAACAGGGAAGGTGGCCATCAAGTCAAACCAAATTGACTAAAAAATACGGCAAAGAAAATTAATGGAGATCAAATTTAAACAAGTTAAAAAGTAATCGTAAACGATTTACATAAAGCGCATTTCCACTTGCATTCATTTCCCATTTGTAAGATGCAACTTCTATAAAATCGTAAAAATCCGGCCACAAATATGAAAGATAGCGTTGCACATGGGCAATCCATTTTTGTCGTGCTACTTCAATGTCAGTTTATGAGAAGAATTTCATTTCAATGCTTTTCTAAATAAGAAAGTTGGAACTGCGCATGCGCAAACCTAAATTTTGAAACTAATGTTAGATTTTCCTTTGTTCCAAGCGCCTAAATATCAAATTTCACTTAAATGCTTCCATAGATAAAAAAGTTGGCACTGCGCATGCGCAAAATAAAATTTTGAAACTGGCGCTAGATTTTCCTTTATTCCAAGTGCCTATGTATCAAATTTCATTCAAATGCTTTTATAAGTAAAAATTTTGCAATTCGGTTTATAAATGGTCGAGATGCGAAAAGGGCACTGTGAATTTTGAATCGATTCGATTCAACTTTTGGCATTGCGTATTATATGGCTAAAGCTATGCCCATATTGAATTTCATGCAATTCAGTTCATAACTAACGGAGATGTAAAAGTGATCGAACATTTCTAAACAAAGTTATCGTTCACACGGACAGATAGATGGACAGACAGACAAAGGAACAGACGGACAGACCAACAGGCAGACGACAGATAGCAATGCAAAATTATAAACGATCCCTAGGATCGTTAATAAACGGCAAAAGTGTAAAATTATGGAACATGTAAGAAACGGTTTTTTGTTTTTTTACAATAACGTTTTTTGTAAGCGGTACAGAAAAAATTCCTTCCTTGGTACAAGACTCGACACCATAACGAACCAAATAGCGAAAAAAGTAGAACAATAGCTCTTAAGATAAAGAACTAGTAGCGTCGCAAAACGAGCGGACGGACGGACGGACAAAGTGGCCACAATAGCGCATTTTTTTTTATTTTTGTGGAAATGCGCTAAAAAATTGTACTTGGATTGTGGTTATGAGGTTTGTTTTATTTATTATTTGTGTCAATATCACGTTGTCTATTAACCAGATTCAGAGAGCTTCCAGTAAGAACAAGTTAAAAAGTAATCGTAAACGATTTACATAAAGCGCATTTCCACTTGCATTCATTTCCCATTTGTAAGATAAGATGCAACTTCTGTTAAAATCGTAAAAATCCGGCCACAATGTGAAAGATAGCGTTGCACAATGGGCAATCCAT